ACTTATGTATGATACTGCCTTGATAGAAATAACTTCTTTCCAAATGAGATGCTGAAATGGAAGTGGGGAAAAATCAAATTTGTAGATAGGTAGAAATGTACATTTAGGTCCACGTATAGCCCCAATCACGATAGTCTCTTTAATGTATTTATCCTCATAGCACTTCCTTACATCACAGGAGTAGTATTGTCTCCATTTTACAGATGGAGATGTGAGCGACAAAGAGACTAAGGACTTGTCTTTCATGCACTGTTAGCTTGAGCTATCTACTGAGAGTTAACTCCTCTGGAGTGAGCTAGAGTGAGAACGGTCACACTGCTAAATAACACTTGAGTAATAGTGTGTTTGGATTAGCAACAGTAGCTGAGCCCTCACTGCATTACTTGCTTGAGCTTCAGCAGCACTATAGCTTCAATCCCCCTGATGGGCCAGCTACCTTAAGTTTAAAGCACCACTTAATTCAAGGTGGAGATTTTTGTGTACGCACATAAGTCAGGTTGGGGTGACCTTTGAGATATACCTCAAGCTAATCCTGAAGTGAAGACCAGCCCTATGTGACTTTCCCAAGGTCACACAAGAAGCATGTGGCAGAGCAGGGACCCAGGTCCTAGGATAGTGCCCTAATCACTGGACCAGCCTTCCTCTCTGAGGAATTTACCTTATTAAATACAGTGACCCAGAATGGTCTAAACTTAGGCCTGCTTCACCACTTCTTAAGCTGCCAGTTCCCTACAGCCCTGATTCAACAAGGCACTTTAGCATATGCTTAAGTTCCAATAAAGTCCAAGAATGAAATCCTGGCCCCGGTGAAGTCTGTAGTATAACTTCCAGTGACTTCACCGAGGCCGGGATTTCACCCCAAGTGCTTTGCTGAATTGGGGCTGTCAGGCTTGATCCTACCCCAAATGGTGCAGGATCAAACCCTTAGTGAGCATAGATGGAGTGAGGAACAAGAGAGCCCACAATCGATAGCATGATTATGGTGCAAGATAACTGAGTTATTTATACAACTGTATTTAATCAGCAGTAAAATACTGCAGGGTCAAAAGAGAGGTTACAGACTATCCAGGAGCTGAATTAGAAGCAAATTAGTCCTACTCTCATAATTCAGGTAGAACAGATAAATTGCTACTCTGTTCTATACTACTTGATCTCAACTACTCAAGATGAATGTTATTGCTGTAATAATCAAACTCCAACCAAAAGAGTGTTTCTTCAGCCATTCGTATTTCCTGTAAGTCAGCTGTAAACTGTTGATCACTTAAATGTGCATATTAAAGAAAATGTCACCTTTGTGTAATTACTAATCTAATACATAGCAGTTTTATGCTTGGATGGGTGTTGGCAGCCATAAAGTAGCTATGGATGAAGCAACTGTATTGTTCCAGGAAATTCCTTACCAAGTGGAGATAATGCTCCTTTTGGATTTTGTGGCACTACGCTTATAGAGGTGAATTAGAGGGAAGTAATGGCAGTACATAAGCAGAATGGCTATGGGACAGGGACCCTTTCACCATTAGGTCACCAGTCCATATCTGGTCTAGGTCAGTAGTAGCTGAAATTCATTCCCACCTGCCAGTTGTTTGGCCTATGTTAAATGAATTGATGGTATCCCTTCACCTCCTGGTGGGCAGGGCTCCTTCTCCTAAGTGGCTTCTTTGGTCATTCTCTACAGAGACTGTGAATGCATTTTCAGTGAATCCTTAATGCAGATTGAAGGGGCACAGAGACTGAATTACTCTGACCCCAGAGTTTCCTCCAACTCTGGATTAAGGAACAGTAAAGTGGGGAAACTTGAGCAGCCACTGTCTAATATACCTTACCGTCTCACTCATTACACATTCATCATTCCACCCTGCCTCCTTCCCTCTTCTTATCTCCTCTTAAACCCTCTCCTTGTTATGTTCCACCTGGCTTGCTCCTGTTTCCTCACTCTGACCTTTTTTTTTTTTTCTTTTTTTTTATATTGTCCCATATGATTGGAACAACCTCAGAATCAATGTTCATCAACTTCTTCCCAGATTTCTGGCCTCAGACTTCTAAAAATGCCCACAACCCAGGGAGCATTCTAGATTTGCCCACAGTATGCAGTGTGGATTGACCCTCTTCTCTCCTCTCCTCCTCCCCCACCCCCAATGTCTTTAGCAATATAAATATGCTTCCTAAAGAAAAGCTCATTTATTAGTTGGTAATGGAGCAAAAACATGTTTTGTTTCCAACTTGATGCATCAACACACCATAGACTACTAACTAATACTGCAATTTGATAACTGCAGAGATTTTTCCAAAAGAACCTAAGGGTCACCCAAATACAGAATGAATTTCACCCTCTATATGCAGTGACTGGAAAGTATCCAAAATAAATTAAAACAAAAAGGACAGGTTTTTTTAATGTCAGTAAATCTTAATGTATCAACTAGAAATATAAGCTGCATTGTTAGAATTAAACTGAATGTTTTTAGAAACACTTTTCCCCCTTTTACTGGGATTTTTATAGCCAACAACAAAATAGTCAGCAAATTATAACAATGTATAAGGCAGTGCTAATACCTCTTTCCCATGAAAATAATCTGACTAGGACCCACTTGCTGTTTTATACCCAAGGTGAAATGAAAAAACAATAGATGTAGAATAGTCAGGCTAGATGCCTACAACAGCATCCATATTATTCTTGCCATGATCACCACACTTTACAAGACATTGTGCCATTCTTTCTCCCAGGGACCACATTTATTACACTCCTGCATTTGGTTTGTGCTCTCCTTTAACACTATCAGCAGGTACAGAATTGGACAAAAGCAGTTTAAAACAATGGTGGGCCACTTACATCAGCACAACTGCCAGTGACTCTACCCTAGTTGTAGTGATGGTGGGGATATTTGAGTAAAGAAAGACTAGTAAAGATATCCATAAAGACACCTGTGCAGCTCTCTTGAGCATTACTCTGCACAGGTGTAACTGAGTGGAACTTTGTAAACAAGTCTGAGGCTCAAGAATAATAGACTGACGCTCTCCTGTATCTGTGTTGGCTCTGCAGTGATTACAGGAGGTGAAAAGCATTAAAAAATTCACTGCTATCATCAGATATGACTAAGGTGCCTTTTTTATTTTTTGAATAAAACCGCACTTTCCTGGGGGTGGGAGGAATGGGGGAGTTGTGAACTCTACCAGAGAGAGGGTGAATCCTACAGTGATGAAAATGGTACAGTTATGCAATGCTTAACTTTTATTTGAGGTTTATTTAAAAAATAAATACCCCTTGCACAATGCTTAGGGCTCACGTACATAATCTTATAAAAACAATTATCTATCACTCCATCTTTTGTAGAGCTGAAGGGAGAGGAATAGAGCAGAGAGAACAGGAGTAACCCCTCCAAACCACCATTTTCCCAGGGTACACGCCAACCCCCTCCAGCATCAGACCTTGCATTCAATAAAAAGGCCAATAAACCTGGCATTTGAATTGTCAGTTGAAGCAAGTTACGAGTTGAGGGGGAGCCCCACTGAGAATGCCCTGCTTGTAGCCCTCTTGCATTTAAATCTAGGACTGTTTCTTTAAGTGCCTCTGAATAGATTGGGACAGTATGATTCTCTAACCTATTAAACTGATCCCTTGTTAACTGGAATATTTGAATAATTAAATTACCATTATATTATTTATTCGTCTTGTGGTAGCGCTTAGAGGCTCGGGCTCCCCCACCATGCTGCATGCAGTAACTACAAATAATAAAGATATGTATGCTCAAAGAACTTTTGTCTAATTAGATACAATCAGTATGACAAACAAAAGAGGGGAAGGAAAGTGGACACAAGTAACATCAGTAAATCACGGGGTTAGGCAGCTAATTGCATGACTTGAAGGTTTCATTATTGTTTGTTTGTTTGGTATTGCGGTAGCACTTAACGCTCCCAATCATGGAGCAGTACCCCATTGTACTAGATTCTATACAGACCAGTGCAAAGATGATCTCTGCCCCAAAGAGCTTACAATCTAAGTCCGCTTAAGCATCATGACACGGCTGTATTTTAAAATCTAAGCTTTAGACATTCTTAAAGGTTCAATTAAAAATAAAGTCAGAGAGAGTCTCAGGACATGGCCAAACACCACGTTCATGTTCTACTTGGACGTTGTAATTCCTTTCCCTTGTCCCCTGCTCTTCCCGCTTTCTTTTAGAGTTTAACTTCTTTAGAGCAAGGACTGCCCCTCCATTAGTGTTTGCACAGTGCTTAGCGTGTTCTGAGTGCTACCAAAAGCAAATTACAAAAATGTACTTTAAGTCATTTTTAGCGACTGTTCTGTGATCTGAGACTTCTGTTTTGTACTTGCCCATGCTTTTTGGGCCAGAGACTTGTTAGTGGTCTGACGCAATTCCCTTGCTGTACAGTTGTGGCACTGTCTAAATATACTTATTTTACAGGCTGTGGTCATTATGTGACACGTCACTCTGAATTTGTAAGAACAATGCATCTGGGGTTCTTCATAACAGGGGTCCTGATTCTCAGTTAGTACAGAATGACAGCTGCCCAGAGCCAGGTGTGGTCCCTCATCCTTGGCTCTCCAGGCCCCAGGGGAGTTAGTGTAGATTCCCTGCCTTTCTGATTTCCACCACCTGCATAAACTCCATAATTGAGCTTATAACAGCAGAGGATCCGGCATTGTAGAGTTTGGTTTCACCATGCTGGCTCTTCTTCTCCCTTTCCCCAATGATCAGGGATGTAGGTGGCGTAGGAGGTAACTATTCCTGTACAAAAGGAGAAATTTCTAGTTTAAATCTCTGGCTGCTTTTAGGTCACTTTGCACTGTGTATGCTGTGGACAGTGAACTTGGCAGACTGGAACATCCAGCCCTGGATGATAAAACCTCCGATACAGAAGCACAGCACACTTCTTAAAGTTACATTAGTACATACAACATGTACGTGGGGTATACAATAGCAGAATTAGAGTTCAAATAGCTCCTACTTTAAAACAACTAGGTGTAATGTTTTCTCTTTTTAAAGAGTACAGAACAAGTTGCTGCATTTTGTCGCAGTCTACATGAGATGAATCCTTCTGATTCGAGTTTGCATCCTCAAGAATTTACAGGGCCTCAGCTGTCCACCATGAGACAACTTACAGATGCTGATAAACTGCGCAAGGTTATTTGTGAATTGCTTGAAACAGAACGCACCTATGTCAAAGTAAGTTATGTTTTGTCTACATTTTTCCTTTTCCTTCCAGAGTTGAACTTCTAAAAAGTTAAAGTTCTGCAATATTTTTTTACCAAAAAATAAAAACTAATTTACTAGACTAGTGGCAAGTTAACTTTTACAGTAAGACTTCTCATCAATTTTAATAGCAGCATCCAAAATACACTAGATATTTTAAAACTGAAACAACTTAAAAAAAAAAAATTCAAACAGTGGCATGAATCTTATTTGGTTGGGATACAGAAAAATATTTTCAGACAAAATTGCATATCTTAGTTTATAAGTACTGGTAATCTAAATTGTACAACTCTTTTTAATGTCTTAAATTTCACTAAAATAGAATATACTCCTGTCTTATACAAGACCGATGAAAGACCTAGAGACTACATCAATGGTGTTAAGGAGAGGATCTTTGTCACTGTAACAGTTTGAGAGAGGTACTTGGAGGAAATGACATTAAAGAGTATTTTCTTTATTTTTGTGTTTATTTTAAGGACTTAAACTGTCTAATGGAAAGATACCTGAAACCTCTACAAAAAGAAACTTTCCTCACTCAAGATGAGGTATGAGAACTGTTGCCATAGTGCTGCCAGATTTTTTGTTTGACTCTTACTGTCTGCTAGAGGAAGGAATGGAAGGAGCCATGAATGTTAAACTTACTTAGGAACATTTTTAAATGGACTGACGCTGACTTTAAAAATACTGATCAGTGCTGTCTGATCTTCTGATAACAACCACATCACACTGTTGGAGTTTAAGGCCATGTCTACACTACAAAATTATGTCGACCTAACTTGTCAGCATACAGCCACCGCAGTTATTAAATCCCTTGGGCACACACTTGGCTCCATGTGTCAGCAGTGCGTGTCCTCACCAGGAGCGCTCATTTTGATTGTATTGTCAGTATAGGGCATTGTAGGATGGTTCCTGAAAGCCAGTAACAGTCGACGTAAGCAATGCAGTGTCTACACTGACTCTGCAACAACCTAATTACTCAACCGTGACTTTGTGCCGCTCGGGGAGGTGGTGTTACTAAATTGGCATCGAGGCACTTCACTTAAATTTGGCTCCTGCTGAGGTAAAGGCACTGGCACCGCTAGGTTGAGGCAAGGCAGCTTACATCGTCCTAAACCTTTTGTGTACACCAGGCTGAAGAAAAGCTAAGTGCTAATGGTCTGTAAATTGGGACTGGCTGGAAAGTCATCTAAATTGAGATTTTAAGCATATTAAACTTTTTTCTCTTTTATTAGCTCGATGTTCTCTTTGGGAATTTGACTGAAATGGTAGCATTCCAGGTGGAGTTCCTGAAAACTCTGGAAGATGGAGTGAGGCTGGTGCCAGACCTGGAAAAGCTTGAAAAAGTTGACCAATTTAAGGTAAACATTTTATTTAAACGCTGGCTGAGTGTCTAAAGCAAACTTAAATAAGGCTTATGGCATACTTACTGTACAGTATTTTTGCACTGCCAAAATGTACTGCAGAAGTAGTCCTCTTAACCTTGTATCAAACCAGTTTGACTACCATGACTGACTTTGTAAGAACACATTTTAAGATTTTTACATGAACTTGTGTTGCCTACCACCACCATGACTCCTTGAAACTAGAATATCACACTGTAGCTATAGTTCATGTTGCATTTAGCTTTATAGATCAATGCCACTCAGCAAAAGCGTGATATTTACCTCTTTGTTAGATTTCATGTTTCAAACTCTGAGGAAAAGCTAGTGGCAGAAATATAATTGCATAAAACCTTAGTACTGACAAGTCTAAATTGCCAGTTCGGGGAAGCCACAGGGGAAATGGTTTTGAACTGTAAATTGTATTCTGTACTTGGCAGGCTCTTAATGCACATGTAGGCTGGAATGGCAAGCTATTGAATATAATGCTGCTTTTGAATCTTAATTTCAAATACTTTGGGGGGGGGAGGTAGAAATCTTAAAGGGAAGAAACCCAAACTGAATTAAAAATAAATGGGGAAAGACATAGTGGGGAAGGGTTGGTTGCTAAACAAATAATGAATACCACCACCACTGTAATTGGATCCATCTATGGCAAGTAACTCATGTTGAAATTAACACAACCCAACGCATCTCCTCCTGGTACTTTGGCTCGTTTCAGCACTGACCTTGATAAAAGGACGAGATGTCTTGGTGAATAATAATCCCACTGGGTTTGCTCCTCCAGGAACATGGATGAATTGAAGAGCTTGTGGACGAAGTCTCTCTTTTGGTTTTGTTCTGGATTGCTCATTTTAAATTGGCATTAGTCTCACAACCTACCGCTATGGTTAATCATTAGAAAATAATTTTGTTCTTTAACTAAGCATACTGAAATGTTGTGCTGGGCAAACTGGACTTTCATTGATGAATAGGTCTTGCCTCCTGCAGTCCCATGTCTTGCTTATGGACTCAAAAATGACTTTATATTGAAGCAAATTTGCGGGATCGATCAAACTTGTGTACTCCACCTATTGCCAGACCTGAACCCTCTTCGAGGTAGACATCGAGCAGTTAGTCATTCCATATGTGTAGTCAGTGCTACATCCTGAGCATAAGGTGTTTTGACTTTGTGAGATAGTGACATTTTACACAAAGATCTAGCCTTCCTTCCATACATCATTCTATTCAAAAGCAGCGTTCCATGCTCTTTGGCCAGGTTTCCACGATGAACAAAAACAGCCCAGCACACTGTACTATCAAACTCTCCATTGACACATGAAGGGTTGCACCTGATGCCATCTGTGGAGCTGCCCCAGAGACTTGTGTATTTGCAGGATTGAGCCAGAGCTGAGCTTCTCTACACAAGGCCTAGTGTGATGCCAATAACCATGGTCTCCCTGATTAGTGCAATGGTCTTTAGTAGACTCTGTATGCTGTTACTGAAGCATTTACACTACATTCTCACAGTAATCAGTTTGTGCATTGAACTGATGGGGGAAGTGAACGGACAAAGAGAAGTGTAACATATTGGAGAGGACTGTCCTAAATATTTTTGTGTGGCTTTTTTTGTTTTTGTTTTGTTTTTGTTTTTTTCCCCACCACATGAAACTCTTATTTGTTCTCTTTTTACACTGGACAGAGATAACAGAATATTGACAATTTATTCCTATGTACCTTTATAAAAGAGTAACTCAAGTAGCCGAACAGATCAGGTTCCCTAATAATAAAACTAGACTTCAGGAGTAAGTAACCATTGCTTTCTCCATGGAAGTAAACACTTTATGAATCCCATAGATGTTGCTGCATAAGAATTTAATGGTACATATGAAATCAAGATTATAGGCGTAGACTTAATAGAAGATCATTAAAAAATATTAACATATCTAGCAGTGATGAATAACCTGTCCACCCACTTGACAGGGGCGGGCAAGCTTTTTGGCCTGAGGGCCGCATCGTGTTTTGTAAATTGTATGGAGAGCCAGTTAGGGGAAGGGGTCGTAGCCTGGCCCCCACCTCCTATTTGCCCCCCTCCCCTGGGACTCCTGCCCTATCCAACCCCCCCCGTTCCCTGACTGCCCCTCTGGGACCCCTGCCCCATCCACACACACCCCACTCCCTGTCCCCTGACTGCCCCTGGACCCCCACCGCCCCATCCAACCTCTCCTCTCATTCCTGACAGCCCCCCTGGACCCCCGCTGCCCCAGCCAACCACCCCTTCTCCCTGTCCTCTCACTGCCCCCAGAACCCCTGCCACCCCATCCAACCCCCACCTCCTTCCTGACTGTCCCCCCTGGGACCCCACCCCCATTCAACCCCCTGTTTCCCCCCACCACCACCATCCACACCCCCGCCCTGACCACCTCCCCAAACTCCCCTTCCCTCTATCCAACCCCCCCTACCCCCTTACCGCGCTGCCTGGAGCACCGGTGGCTGGCGGCACTACAGCCGTGCCGCCCGTGTGGAGCTGGGCCACGCAGCACAGAGACTGGGTCAGGTCAGGCTCTGCAGCTGCGTTGCCCCAGGAGCTCACAGCCCCGCCACTCAGAGCATTGTGCTGGCTGTGGAGCAAGCGAGCTGAGGCTGTGGGGGAGGGGGGACAGCAGGGAAGAGGCCAGGAGCTCGGGGGCTGGGCAGGACGGTCCTGTGGGTCGGATGTGGCCCGCGGGCCGTAGTTTGCCCACCCCTGCACTTGACACTCTGCAGACGAAGGGGGAAATAACTAATCTAGCACACTCTATAAACACCCTAATATAGCTAGGCTTGGCAGAATTTTACTTTTTAATATAATTTGATGGATAATATCTATTTTCTTTTATTTCTAATTTCAGTTGTGCAGAATTATGGGGTTTAAGCTTTGTTTTTTCCAAAGACTTTGAATTTATTTCAACATCCACAATTGTGGGGAAATTATGGAGGGTCAGATAATTATTTAATGACAGATCTCAATATTCAAAAAACTGTCAATATTATACGTTCAAAATTTTAGCCTTAAATCACTCTTAAGTTCTCAAGCAGCATTTTTCTGACTTTGCCTATCTGTAAATTTCAATTCTCATAGATGGAAATGTTTTCATTTGATTTGTATATACACTGACGTTCATCATTTACTGTTAAAAATCGAATTCTTCCATGCCTAAATATGGCCCAAGAAGGAGGATTTTGTGGGTGAATAATGGAAAAAAAATGGGACTTGGGAGATCAGAGTTAAGTTCTACTACATATTTCCTGTGTGACCTTAAGCAAGGTACATAGCTTCTCTCTGCAGTGGTTCCCTAGTTGTAGAATGGACCTAATACTTGTCAATTTAGATTTTAAGTTTTTTTTCTTGGGTCAGACTTCCTTACTACGTGTTTGTATAGTACAATCGGGCCCTGATCTTGGTTGGGTTTCTGAGCATTTCTGTAATACAAATAATATTTGGGGAGAAGACAAGTCCCTGCTCTGAAAATAAAGCTGTCTGAGGACGGGGGTGGAGGGAACAGACTGCAATATACATAATATTTGATCACTTTCAGCTATATATTTAATAGTTGGTGTATGGTAACTACAGCAGATTACAGAAGTTAGTTTTTGCTCATTGAACATATGGAAGTATTTAGGTTCCAAATAAGCCCATGAAAAAGAAATGTGCACATTAAAATTATATATACAATATGACACATTCTAGATCAACACCAATTTAAACAGGAAACCATCAGTTCTACAGTAGATTATATAGAACAGGTAGAAAAGAGTCTCTTATTCATGAATCTCTGACCACCTGTTCTTCTCCGGCTACCTGGTGAGGAATTCCCCCTCACCTAATCTTCTGATTACTGAATGTTCCTGGGCAGGATGAGAACCTAGTGTAGATGGTCAGGGACATTGTAATCATGTGTGATAGCCATAAAACATGGCACAGAAGATCTTATTCTTTCTAAGTGGTCTGATTTCAATAGCTTTGTCAAAAGGAAATCTAATGATTGTGGTTTGTTTTTTTTTTTTTTTTAATCCTAGAAAGTGTTGTTTTCCTTGGGTGGATCCTTTCTTTACTATGCTGACCGTTTCAAGCTGTACAGTGCCTTCTGTGCCAGCCACACTAAAGTTCCAAAAGTCTTAGTAAAAGGTAAGATCTGCATGCTTTATATGTATCTTTTCCAAACACTCTTTTGATGTGGAAAACTGCCCTTGCACAATGTAGGATGTGGTTGACAGTGCAAAGGCTGCAGAATGGTCAGGTGTTGTCAGTCTGACAAAGCAGAAAAATTGACCACCAATGTATGTGCCAAAATGCCAACTGAGAATCCTGTTAACATTATGACAGCACCACCCTTACCACCGTAGCATCTGAGCCCCTTCCAGTAGCACATTTAAGCAATGTGACTAACATCTGTCATGCATAGTTTGTGTGTTCACCCTCTCCCCCAGGGAGAATTGTGCACGCAGGATAGAGCGAGTGTTTGAGGGTTGTGTGTTGGAGAAGGCAGGTCGAATAAGTGTGCCTTTGCACTTGGAGTGAAGCTTGTGATACCCATAGGAATTAAGGGCCATGTACTACAGAAGTCCGGCTAATGTCCTATGTTAAAACCAAAAGAAACTTGGCAGGGAGCCTCCAAGAAGGCTTGTTGCTTCCTCTGCCGCCACTATTCTAATCTGGGTCAGCTTGTGTGGCCCTTTTTCCTCCCTCTTCCATGAGGTGCTGCAAAAGATCTCCAGCTCCATACTACGCTGAAGAGCTGCTGTGCCCAAAGTGCCTGTGGAGCTGGCTTTCAATGTGCCCGCTCTGTGGGAGTGACTTTCACCTTGAAAGAGTTAATCTAGTAGTGGATTCAGCAAAGCTTTATTTATATAATTTTTTTTTTTTATCTTGGATGGTGTGTAGACTAGCAGTTCCAGTTGCAGGAGCAACATAATTAGAAAAAATATGCTCTGATTTTTCAAGGAACACTTGATGTCAGATAAATAAGCCAGAAGACTTCTGATTTTTTTTATTTTTATTTTTTTTATTATAAACTCTATTTACCATGCAGACACATGCTGGCAATCCCCCTGAATACATGAATAAAGGATTTGTTGCCAGCCACTTTTATGCTCTCTCCTGGCAGCGTCTAGGTTGACCTTATTAAGGACATAGGCTGATATCTTTGGCTGGTAGCCTTTTAAAATCCTTGTATCTGTTGAATTGTAGACTTAGATTTGGAGCCCTGCTTGCTCCAAAGATAAATCTTTAAAAGTCTGGTATATGTATGACAGCATTTTCATATGCAGTTTTGCGTGGTCCTATGGCCTTCTGGTTGCAGTGGCAGTGCCTTTTTTTATTTTAAATTGTAATAACTTTATTGTATTGATATAACTGTCTACTAAATGCCCAACTTCTCCTGGAAACAGTTATCCTTATGGAGGGAATACTTCCTGTACAACATACTCACATTTTTATAGTATCCATTCTTGAACAATCTCTGGGGTTGGGAGCAGTAGAAAAATCATCAATACTCTATTTATAGGCAGGCTAACAACTTACTGCACCATGCCTCTATCTAGTATGTCTGAAATATATCGCAGGTATTATGTACGTGTATAATTTACATAGTTCCATCGGTGTATTCTGTTCCACCTCCTTACAACTTTTTTGATGTTTGTTGTTTGTGCTGTACTTTAAGGCTGAAAAGTAACAACAAAATGCCATTAAAGATGCACGTAATATTAACAAGACCAGACATACCTATGACACCACTGCTGTGAATTCTTATAAATAGCAGTGACACTTTTTGATTAAACTAGTGGGAGGGAGGAGGGTTGGTGGGCTTCATACCGCTCTACAGTACTAGAAATAATGTGACAAAGGATGGTTAAATAAAAGATGTTTATCTTGGTATGATGTTCAATCATGAGTTACTTCTCTATGGCATTTGATACTAACTAAAAACCTGAAGTGTATAAAACATGGTCTTGTATACTTGATCAAAATGTGTATTTCTCCACAAACCACGCTTATTCTAGGCAAGTGAATTTCACCCTCTAAAAAGTTACTTCATACTGGCAGATCTTTGGGCTAATTAAAAACAACTTTTAATTTTAACTTCTAGCTAAGACAGACACTGCTTTTAAGGCATTTTTGGATGCTCAGAATCCTAGACGGCAACACTCCTCAACACTGGAGTCTTACCTTATCAAACCTATCCAGCGGATACTAAAGTATCCTCTCCTGCTGAGGGAACTCTTCGCTCTGACTGATGCAGACAGTGAAGAACACTATCACCTTGATGGTAAGGTGCTGAACTATGGAACAGTGTTTACCTGCTAAACTGGGGGGGTGGGGCACATTTCTTTCCCCTCTTTCCATGAAGCAACTACGTAACTAGTTAATTTCCACTTGCTTTTTCCTCTAGTGGCCATAAAAACAATGAACAAAGTTGCCAGCCATATTAATGAAATGCAGAAAATACATGAAGAGTATGGTGCAGTGTTTGATCAGCTTATAGCAGAACAGACTGGGGAAAAAAAAGAGGTAAGGATTTTATTCTTGGCTTTCTTTATTACAAGTCTGTTATTCAGGGGTCTCTTTCTTCTGGTATGAATTACTGCATATTGTTACAGCTACCATTACAAATTCCTTTTTCTGCATTGTGTCTAGCACAACATGCTAAAAGTTCTTCTTAAAGGTATGGTATAGGCTTGGAGACCAATACATGGAAACAATCTTTCAGCAGTGACTAGTGATTTTGGGTGCTCATTTCAAGACTCCTTAAAGGAGCATGATTTCCAGAGAGTGCTGAATGCTTACCCTGTGAAAATAAGGCCCATTTCAAATTGGGCATCTCAAAATTGCTAGTTACTATTGAAAATGTAGACCACTTCTTTGGAACTCTTTCAAGGTGGAACCTCACCATGGAAGGTTGGTGAGACTAAGGTATGAGATGGGGATTCAACAAAGCAGAGGAGAAGGGGGACTAGAGCAGCAGCCTGCGGGAATGGTGAGGAGAGTCTTGAGATGAGAAAGTGGGGCTGGGATGAGAGGGGTGAGCTTCAGCAGCTACTTGGAGGCAGTGGAGGTCAAGCAGGAGAGGCAGTTGTGCTCATGGAGTAGGGTAGTCCTGAGGGTAGCAGCACTGTGAAGGCTGCAGGTGCAAGCAGGGTTGGACAATTGGTGTTGAGACTACCAAGAGGTATGTGGAGACCAGAGTTGGGTCTGGTAGGCAGGACTGAATGGAAGTGCTATAACCCTGGATTGAAGAGCAGTCTTGTGTGCTAGTAACTTACTGACATTTTAAACACAAGTGAGACTGGGTTGGCCTAGAGGTCCCACCAGTTCAGGGCAGGGGGACAGTGTGGGGAAGCAGGCACTGCTGTTACCCATGTTCTACTCTGTTCTGTGGCTAAATGGAGGACCTAACTTTCCAGAGATGTCAACTTAGCGCTTCTCACAAGTGCTGAATTCTCAATTTGTGTGTTCACGGGGAAAAAGGTGGAAAACAGCTTCTAGATGTGGGAAAGGGTGAGTCTTAATGAAACTGACTTGTTGCCTCTGGAGATCAAAGTGAAAAATCTAATTTGTCTTGACAACTTTATTGTATATCTGCCCACAAAGGTCAGCACCGTTATTAGTCTTTGCTCAGGAAATACGTAGAACTTGCAGGTTCGATTAATATTCCTTGGCAGAGCTGTGTACAGGAGGCAAAGTTGTGTACCAGAAGCACTGTGGCTGGCTTCAGCTAGTAGAAGTGTTCAATTCTTTGAGCACATTAAATGTAAAACAATCTAATGAGAAACTGAAACAGGGAGAGATGGACAAATACTATAAGAGTTCACAGAAATTTTTGGCTTCTTCATTATGAAATTAAACCTTCTTACAGATTTTGAATGGCCAGACTTTCAACGCTAGGCTGTACCTAACTTGTGCACAAAAATTAGGGATTTGAGTGCATGTATGATCAGTTAGCATTGAATGCAGTTAGCATTTGGCACAATCTAATTGCACAAAATTGCAACTGCCTAGTCCTGATGGAAAATCTTGCTCCAAAAGTTTGCTGCTTTTTAGAGTAAAATTCATCTAAATCTACTAAGGCAGTTAAAACCCTTTGGAGGATGGTGTGGACTGCACTCTCAGCAAGTTTGCAGATGACACTAAACCAGGAGGCGTGGTAAATACACTAGAGGGTAGGGATCGAATACAGAGGGACCTAGACAAATTAGAGGATTGGGCCAAAAAAACCTGATGAGGTTCAACAAGGACAAGTGCAGAGTCCTGCACTTAGGACGGAAGAATCCCATGCACTGCTACAGACTAGGGACCGAATGGCTAGGGAGCAGTTCTGCAGAAAAGGACCTAGGGGTCACAGTGGATGAGAAGCTGGGTATGGGTCCACCGTGGGGTTTTG